ACACACACAGTGGATTAAAGATTGCGATACAGAAGCTTTTCATGTTGACCTTTGAAATCATTCTTAAAGTTCTTGTCAAAAACATTTTGTAAAGACGGCTGTGGCTTAGTGGTGGAGTCGGTCTTATCTCAACTGGATAGTCAGGGTTTGATCCCCAGCTCCTGCAACCACCCGATTTGTCCTTGGGAAAGACACTTAACCCCATGTGGAGTATGAATGTGTATGAGTAGAGCTTTGAGTTTTTGAGTAGAGTTTTTCAAAGATAATGTGTATTACTTTAAAAGCGTTTATTTTGAATCTTTTGTTCTTCTCTGAGGTTAGAAGCCGGAGTACGGCTCCGCCAGTCTATCTTCACATAATAACTGGTGTGTGTTTTCCGTTGCAGCCGGAGGAGAAGGGAAAGTTTGATGGGATTTTTGAAAGTTTGGCTCCGGTGAACGGCCTGCTGTCAGGAGAGAAGGTCAAACCAGTACTCATCAACTCCAAGCTACCTCTGGACGTCCTAGGGAAGGTACGTTTGGCTTTTCCTAAAGTCTACCTAAACAAGGCGAGCTGGTTACATAACAGAAGGTTAAACTTCTACATATGAAGTAGTGTGAATGCCACAGAGGCTGGTAGAACTGTTGTTCATAAGTTAAAGAAAATGTTTTTACTAATTTGATTCATGGAAAGAAAAATGGCTCTGTGACTGTGTCTCCTTAAATAATGCTGAATGGCCTCATCATGTTTGTCTTCATGCTGCCAGGTGTGGGATCTGAGTGACATAGATAAAGATGGCCACCTGGACAGAGATGAGTTTGCTGTGGTGAGTGTTATCTTCATTCTTATGATGCGTTAAGGTCGGCATTCACTGTACTATTGTAGAAAGCGATGGTGGAGTGTCAGCTCACAATGTACGACTGAAACGTTCACGACGCACCACCGGAGCTCAGGATTTAGAAAAACTATTTTATGATGTTTGAAGTGTTCTCCAGAAGTATAAAGCTAACGTTATGCTACAAGCGAACTACACTGTGGTTGCACGGCTTCAACGTCACCACCACTGTGCCTCAGGACGTCTCCCACAAGCTAACTATCAGTTTGAACCAGCTAGCCAAACCGTAGCCTAATAAGTTGTTTGTTAACCTGATCTACACCTTAACCTACAGGAGACCTCGTGACAATGGCGTCAAATGTCCCAGACAAGCGTACTGTAGTTTCATTTAGCCACTCGTTAGCAACTGCCTTTATCACGTGAAGTGGGGGGTTATTCATCCTGATGTTTTCACATATGCACTTTTATACATGTATGTGCTCTAGGGGGTGGGGGGAGGTAAAGAGGAAAACAGTTGTAATTTTTGATGAAATTTCTTTGTACATTTCTTTTAAAAAATTGATAAAAAAAAAGAAAAAAGAAAACAACAGACAATATCCCCACGTATTCAGATGAGACAGGACATATGTTTTTCCTTTTTTTTTAGTATTTTTTATTCAGTTAATTTATCCTTGAACTAAATAATAAAATATAAATATTTAAAGCTGAAAAAAAAGAAAGGTGGTTATTCACAACAAAATGCTTACATCTCCTATGCTCGTTTTAACCACCTTATTTCAGTCGTCTAACCACCAACCCATTAAAAAAAAAAATTACCCCATGGCGCTAAAATGCTAACTGCCTTCCTGGTTTAAGAACTCCTTCCTGTAGCGCCCTTTACTCCCTTTAGTGTATTATAAGCTGTACATATAGACAGTGAGTGTGTTCTGAAAGCAGGATGTCTGTCTGCAGGCCATGCACCTCGTGTATCGGGCGTTGGAGAAGGAGCCGGTTCCTACCCTCCTACCCTCCTCCCTCGTTCCTCCATCTAAGAGGAAGAAGAGTCTGGGCTCTGTGGCCAGCTCCGTGCCGGGCCTTCCCGCCAGCCCTCCTCCTCCAAAAGACTCGCTGCGCTCCACGCCATCACACGGCAGCATGAACTCCCTCAACAGCACCGGCAGCCTGTCACCCAAACACACCCTCAAGTCTGGACAGGTAATACACCAGTGCTGATGAATGATGAAATAATGACCACATGACATGTTGCACACCAAGTTCATTGACTTCTGTTTATTCATTTCTTTATATTTATTTTATTTGATGAAGTAAGAAACTACAACTACTTCTCTCCGTTTCAGCATTCACTGTCCTGGGTGGTCCCAGTGTCGGACAGAGGTCGCTATGATGACATATTCCTGAAGACCGACGCTGATCTGGATGGTTTTGTGAGCGGACATGAAGTAAAGGACATCTTTATGCAGTCTGGACTTTCCCAGAATATGCTCGCCCATATATGGTAAGGCATCAGCTGCGCTCTCAGTGATATCATGACAGTTTAGATGTATGCAGTGTTTCGCACACATAGACGTCACCTGGGCAGGTTTAACAGGTGTACTCTGCTCTTGCTTTAAGCCTTGGGTAAATATGAGTAAATTAAAGCCATTTGTGAACAAACACTGATATAGGTTAAAGATTAACAATGAAGTTAAAGGTCACATATCCTCCTCCTCTTCTTCAGTTTAAATAAGTCTCAGAGCTCCTCAAAACATGTGTGTGAAGTTTCTTGTTCTAAATCCACTCTGATCCTGTATTTGATCATGTCTATAAACCCCTCTATTTCAGCCCTGCTCAGAACAGGCTGTTTCTGTGTCTCTACCTTTAAATATGTGAATGAGCTGTGTCTGACCACGCCCCCTCTCTGGAAGAGCTTGGGTGTACTCGGGCTTTCTCGCTCCATGTCCTATTGTTTATGGTGAGAAGGCAGACTCAGAGGTTCAGAACAAACACCTAGCTGTGGGAGTGTCACCCATCTGGGGGAGGGGTTACTGCCCTTTGTGATGTCATGATGGGAAAATCTCCAAACGGCCTGTTTGAGCACACATTTTCTGAAAAGTGGAGCAGGCAGAAGGTGGAGAGGATGGACTTTTCTCATCATTGGGGGGTTTGTAGACAGAGTAGAGACACATGTTAGTGTTAGAGAAACATGGGGAAGTCGATTCTGTTTAATATGTGACCTTTAATGTATAACCAAACACAACATAAATAGGGTAATGTATTTCTTGCAATACTTTCAATCAACCCCCACCACCCCAGGTACAGCACTGTGGGAAACACAGAATAGTATGTTGTCTTTGTCCTTTGGTTCGATGTGATTAACTGAATGTTTCTCTGCAGGGCGCTGTCAGACACGAGGCAGATAGGCAAGCTGACCAGAGAGCAGTTTGCCCTCGCCATGTATCTCATCCAGCAGAAAGTTAGCAAGGGCATCGACCCTCCTCAGGCCCTTTCTGCTGACATGATGCCCCCCTCAGAGAGAGGCACACCTGTACCAGTAGGTTCCACTCAGACACAGACACACACACACACACACACACAGCAGATGTTTACTATAACAGAGTGATCTCATTAAATCTGGGTCTCAGGGGGTGCTGAGGGTGGTCCATTAATCCTCTGGTGGAGACTTGACCATAAACTTAAAGGACCTTGTTGTTTTGCCATCGTAATTGCAATGTGCACATGTACAATAGTCACATTGCGATATGTGTGAAATCAAGCATACGATGCCACCACTTCTTCATAAACTAACGAGAGAAAGAGAAGGGGGGGGTGTGTGTCTGATCGTAACTGTAAAGCTCGTAACATTTAGCTGTTCACACCTGGTTAGTGACTGAGATTTACAGATAGATACATGCAGTAATATGATGTCATATGTTTCTGGTCATCCAGGTCCTAACGTCCTTAAGGCACGTTTCTAGCTTACATAACTGACTGGTGCCATCGGGCTTCATTGATGCATAAAGCTGAGTATCATCTGCATAACAATGAAACTGTATGGAGTGTTTCCTCATAATATTTCCCAGAGGAAGCATATATAATGTAAAGAGAATTGGTCCAAGCACTGAACCTTGTGGGACTCCATGGCAAACTTTGGTGTGCATAGAGGACTCATCATTAACATGTACAAACTGAGATCGGTCTGAGTAGGATTCAAACCAACTTAAAGCAGTCCCTGTAATTCCAAGCAAATGTTCTAGTCTGTATAGTCGGATCTGATGGTCAATGGTGTCAAAAGCAGCACTAAGATCTAACAAGATGAGCACAGACAGAAGTCCCCTGTCTGAGGCTAGAAGTAGATCGTTTGTAACTCTAACTAGTGCAGTGTTAGTGCTATGGTGGACTCTAAATCCTGACCTTTGAAACTCCTCAAATAAACTGTTGTCATGGAGAAAGTCACACAGCTGATTAGCTACCACTTTCTCCAGGATGATGAATTCTTGCAGGTTAACTCTGTGGATTGCATCATTCACAGCATGTGGAGACACTGATCAAGAATTATATCAATGCAATAGGAAGTACTAGGTTTAAAGTGAAGTGTACATATGTGGAGTTAAACTTCAGCTGCCTGTTCAGACATCACACCTTAAAGGAGGAGTCAATAGAAATGTTTGTAAACAATGTTTGTCATGTGATGGCTGTATTTCATCATGACTGCTGTTAACTTCCTGCTTCTCTGTGTGGCTACAGAGCATGTCAGGATACATGACCCCTGTAGGATCAGAGATGGCTGCTCTGTCTGAGATGAGACGGGTGAGTCTATAATTCTCCGTCTCTTCTTCTGCTTTCTGCTACCTTTCTTTAGCACTTCTCCAGTCTGCTTGTTTTGTTGGTTGATAACTTGAAAATGTTGCACACATAGAGATGGAAAAGGGGAATTGGAGGAGAGGTAACACGGCTATGTGAAAGACATTTACGACCCGCTGTTCTCTCTTTACTGCTGATGTTCTACCTCTCCCCTCTCCCTCTTCTCTCAGGCTATAATGTTCAAGCTGTGGGTAGGTAACATGGACCTACAGAACCTCAAAATGCTTTCAGTGGCTGGCTGTTGGGCCGATTACTGGAAAGCATTTACAAGACGTTTCATACCAATACAATGCAGTGACATCACCTCACCCTGACAACTGATCCAAGGGGAGATTCAAGATTGATCTTAGGGGGAGACTGGAGACTGGTTTTATGTTTTATATATTTATTTATTTAGGTATCTAAAGGTAGAAGGTGTATTAGGCCCAGATATAAATCAATCAATCAGACTTAAAGCAGGCTTTCTTCTTCCAATGCATGTGACTTCTATTACAGTTTAATACAGGATGAGCATGTTAGGTCTACTTAGGGTTTTTTTCTTCAATGAGTAGAGAGCGTTTGCAGCAGCAGGCGACTGTCAGGAGAAACCGTGCAGCAGGCTTGCAGCACCTAGCATATTTTTTTTCCGGTTGCTTCGCCTTTTTTGTGCGGCCGCTTCGAGCACTTTGAGTCGAAAATCTTTTAACTTCTCAGAAGGGCGCTGTTGTCGTCAACTGCACTCTTTTTCAAAATAAACGATATTCCCCATATTTTTGTCTCCTACTGATCTTGCGCTGTACCCACATCCTCCTCGCTCCGTGTCCAGTGTCCTCCGTTTGATGCTCATAGTGAAGGAGAGAAACGAGTCACACATTGAAAACATACAGTAAAAGCAACCGATCAGTGCTGGTCATGCAGCGGCCGTTTTTGAAAGGCTGTTGTCATAGAGACAAGACGCACGTGCAGCACTTTTATTCTCAGCGCACAAATGCTTCATCCAGGCGCTTCAGAAATGCCAGGTGGACACTCGAGCTGTCAGTTCATATTCTAGATCTCTAACTTTTATTTGAATCTGGGGAGAAAGTTCACATTTGAACTGTAATGAGCCGTTTGAATTCAAAATAAACAGTCTACCTGCACATCAGGCCGTCTGAAGAAGTTATCAGTTAGATCCAGCAGAGGGCGCTCTCAGTGTTACCTGACCATTGCATGCCCTCTTGACCTCAGTAGATAAAGACAGTACGGGAACGTGATGCAGGAGAATAACAAGACGGAGACTGAGCAGCACACTGCTTCAGAGGAGAGACACAGGTTGCTACAAACCCACAAATATTTGTGTAGCAGGAACGTGCGCTCTAAACGGGTGTTGTTGTCTGCAGGTCATGTTCAATCAAGAGAGCTGCACTCCATCCAGTTTTGGTCTGTGCTGTGGTCATGTGCACGCGTGTAGGGGGGGGAGACGACATTACAGTGCCATTTTTTAGATTCGGTTGAAGTGGGGTTTTGTTGAAAAGACGACAGCCCCCCTAGTGGACACTCTCTTGGAGTAGCCTGTAAACGCTGGTAGACACTTTTTGTATTCTCCGAGGGAGCTACCTGAGTTGAAGTGATCAAATTAACTTCTAACAGTCCTGAATCTTCCCACTCTTTGGCAGTTTGTCAGTGGTGGTGAAACTCCCCCCACATGTTGGTGATTGACCCAGACCCCCACCTACTGATTCCACCTCTGTGCTGCTCCTCTTATTGAGTGCTGGCTCCTCTCCTCTCCTCTCCTCTCCTCTCCTCTCCTCTCTCCTCTCCTCTCCTCTCCTCTCCTCTCCTCTCCTCTCCTCTCCTCTCCTCTCTTCTCCTTCCTTCAGCCTGCTCTACCATGGCTCAGTTGGAATCATTTCATCATCCCACATCGTTGTTTAAATAAAGTTTACTTTGTCAACCTGTTGTCTTTGTTTTGTCTTTGTCCCCTCCTCCTCTCTCTGTCCACCTGTCCTCACTCTACAGGACAGCTCCAGTTCGGTCGGCTCCGGGGAGTTCACTGGCATCAAGGAGTTGGATGACATCAGTCAGGAGATTGCTCAGTTGCAGAGGTAACAATCGATGACACCCACAGCTCCTGAATAACTACAGAGAACTGACAGTGTAAACAGCTGATAGTGATATATTTGCTTTAGTTCAAATTCATCTTCTTAATTCTACATTTAGAGCAGCAGCGGTGGCCATTTGTTGCCTTTTGCAAATGTTTTAGTTTTCATTATTACTTCACAATGACAGGTTGTAGTCTGAAGTCTTATTTTTTATTTCTCTGTAAGTGACTGTTGTCTCTATGATGAATGTTCTCGACGATGTGTCAAAGCCCTTTCAGTCACTCCACAACAGCCAGTTATCCTCTAACATCAGCTCCCTCTCTGATTCATTACATCATCTCATAGTGTTCTGTATTCATAACACAGACCACCTCATGTCCTGACCTGTGTGACCCTCTTTGTGCTCTGCTTTCTCTGAAATTTAAGTTTCCTGCTCAGAATGTCACCATAAAAATGGTGGTTAGGCGGAGCCTCTGTGGACCAATAGGATAGCGGGATCATTCAGGGAGAGAAACGCTAAAACAGATCTTTTGCTCACATACTGTAAAACGTCTGGTTCGTCTCCAGCACCAACATCGTGCTTTCACACTCACAGAGAACTCCTGAAAAACTGCAGATATCTGCAGGAGGAGCGTCATATGTGAACACAAACAGCTGAATGTTTCTCTCTTCACCTGGAGTTTCTCCTCCAGCCTCCTCGTATTTCTTCTGCAGAAAGTCAGAGTGATCTGATGTGAGAACGCAGCAGGATATAATCAGGAGAATTCATACCATGTGAACAACCAGATCAGGAGAATATCCGGAGCAGTCCTCTGATAGGATCTAGATATTATCAGGAGTGAAGATGTGAAAACGTCTTTAGAGAGATCACATTCTCAAAGTGAACAGGTTGTTACCTGCAGCTGAGAGAACTCTTTTGTTTTGGGAAATAGATTTTTTTAAATTTATGTTTAGTGTTTAGCGACCACCTCCACTCAAACCGACCTAGCTTAATGTTGAAAGCTGACACTGATTCTCTGCCTCCCTTTGATTCATCAGTCACACTCACGCAGTAAAAAGAAAAGACAGATTTAATTTAACTCTACAGCATCTCAGTTATTTACATCAAGTTCTCCAAAATAGGAAAGGAGAGCCGAGATATTTTCAGGAGAGTTTTAATTTGAAGTCCAGCGTTTTGTTGTTGTTATGTCTGTTGAAAGTCCTCGACATCACACGTTTTTATTTGTTGCCCCATGGTACGCGTTTTTGATGGGCACAATGTGTTAATGTGCACAAAACAAAGCAGTGATGTGAGCTCAAAGAATTGAAGATACATTAAAGACATGAAAGGCTACACCTCTCACAGATTCAAAAAGAACAGCAGCTCACGGCTAACCTTCAAACAGCCGTAGTCGGTCGTTTCTTTGTGATAAAATGCACACAAAGGAAACATGAGCCAGACGTGGACAAGCTTTACCATTCATCTCTCTCATCCTCCTACTTTCTTTCTGTTTCTATCCATTAATGCACTCATTCACCAGCCCAGCCAACTGTCCACTCTTCCTTTGATGTGTGTATTTTATCAAATTTTTGTTTGTTCACCACTTATTCTTCATGCTGCGTCAGCACTCTTGCCTTTACCCAGTGGAATATTCTCAGGTAAACACACCAGCTACCAAATACCTTTGGACTGTTATGTTGTCAAATCCTCTGTGACACACTCAGAGGAGTAGTGGCTCTGTTATCAATTGATCAGGTTTTTATTGAACAAAGATTAATGTGCTCATTTTAACAATGAAGCAGATTCTGCTCAGACATTCCTCCTTTGAAGAAATTAGTTCCCAAAAGAAAATTCACTCCAACTGACGAGGGAGAAATGATTTTTGAAAAAATAAATACATCCGTCTGAAGCAGATTTGAGGCTTCAGCTGTCTTTGTTTGACAAATCTATCCCCATAGATATGTCTTTAAGGGCCAATGTTGTACTTTTTGTCACTATTTCATCCACTGTTCTGCAAGTAAAGACTCTCAATTATGATATTCCTCTTATCAAGAACAGAACAAACGAAAAGGAAGAGAGTCTTTAAAGGTCACATATTCTCTAAAATCCTCTTCACCATGTTTCTCTAACTCTAACATGTGTCTCTAGTCTGTCTACAAAGCCCCCAATGATGAGAAAAGTCCATCCTCTCCGTCTTCTGCCTGCTCCACTTTTCAGAAAATGTGTGCTCAAACAGGCTGTTTGGAGATTTTCCCTTCATGACATCACAAAGGGCAGTAGCCCTTCCCCCAGGTGGGTGACACTCCCACAGCTAGGTGTTTGTTCTGCCCTCTGAGTCTGCCTTCTCACCGTAAACCATAGGAGATGGAGCGAGAAAGAGTGAGACACCCAAGCCCTTCCAGAGAAGGGGGCGTGGTCAGACACAGCTCATTTACATATTTAAAGGTACAGACACAGAAACAGCCTGTTCTGAGCAGGGCTGAAATAGAGGGGTTTATAGACATGATCAAATACAGGATCAGAGTGGATTTAGAACAAGAAACTTCACACACATGTTTTGAGGAGCTCTGAGACTTATTTAAACTGAAGAAGAGGAGGAGGATATGTCACCTTTAACGCTGATTGTTTTCTATATTTAAACACCAGACTGGAAAAATGACGACCCTTCCATTGAGTTGTGTTTTAAAAACTGAACTCAGCTGAAAAAACAAATGTGTTGCTTTAGTCACATGATCAACTTTGTATTTTGTTCCCATAGAATACATTTCTGTGGAGATGAAACACTGCTCCTGTATTTATCAGCTCTTTGGAATCATTCACACAAACAAGTTATTCATCAGTTCTTTGAATAATAGATTTAAAATGCATTTCAACATCAGACCACAGTGCACAATATAAGCTGTGAGGGTCAGGAGAAAGAGTGTGTTGTCCACTGATCACAGGGTTGGCATGAAATCCCCAACAAAGGATTTTATCATTGTTGATGGTCTGTCTTCTTACTTTGACATTGAACCCCACAGAGGCATGAGACGGGTTTCCCAGTGAATGATTCTCACTGCATGACAGCATTACAGAAGCATTAAATGATAGCCTCAGCCTCACACACACACACACACACACACACACACACACACACACACACACACACACACATCACTGTTCTGTCTTCCTGGCTCCGCCCTTTACAGTGACGCTGTTTCACCTCTGTTAGTAACTCAGACTTCACCCAGCCTTTACTGCTCTGTGACATCACGGCCCTGTGTCCACCTGGGGTGTTTTCTGAGCGCCAGTCTCTTTCTTTAGAGATTCTATTCTTAGAGATTCTTAGATTCTGAGAGCTCTGCCTTTTTTCTTTTGAGCATCCGCTCCGAGTGCTTCTCAGAAGGGTGCAGTTGAAGTCATCAGCGCTCTTTTTGAAAATGTACGATATTCCTCATATTTAATCTCCTACAGATCGTGTTCTGTGCCCACATCCCTCCCCGCTTCGTGTCCAGACAAAGTAGGAGGACAAACATCCTCCGTTTGATGCTCATAAAATTAAAAGAAACAGAGCAGTGTTGGTCTATAGCACCTGTTTAAATTCTCAGTGCACAAGCGTTTCATCCAAGAGCTTTTCAGCCTGATGAAAAAACGCCTGGTGCACACGGGGCCTTACATTGACAGCCAGGCATAACAGAGCCTGATGGAAGAGCTTCCTTGTGCAAAACATTGAGCCCAAAACTGCTTCCAGTGGTCAGGCCGGCCCCTGTGTGTGTCTGTGTGCATGAAGTTGTGTGCAAATGACAATCAGAAGCAAAAAGCATCCATGGACCTGTGTTTAATGATATTTTGACATTATGGATTTGAATCCCTGTTCAGTGTCATGTTACATAATTTTGTGTGTATACAGCAGGGGGCCAGTGGTTTAGTATTTTTTTACTGACTGTGTTTCTGTCCAGCATTGTTTGCATACGTTTTGTCTTTTTTTTACATCAGGGAGAAGTACACACTGGAACAAGACATCAGGGAGACAGAGGAGGCCATCAGACACAAGAGTGCTGAGGTGCAGGTGAGGACAAACCTCTGAGGGGTAGAAGATCATGCTTTGGATTACCTTGTTCTACTTAAAGGTCCAATCAGTGAGATGTGTAGAGAGTGAAATGATAAAGGTATCTTACTATATGATCAGACATTAAGGAAACATGCTATGTTGAAGTGCTGGCTTCTCTGACAACAATGCAGCAGTCAGTATGTCCTCCTTCTAACTTTAGATTCTGCTCCTGAATGCTCTGGATTTGTTTGGACCAGAGAAGGTAGGCGCTTTTAAGACACCCCCCCCACACGGCCGTTTTGGATGGCCCTCGGTTTGTCAGATATGAGAGCAGTTATCAGGTCAACAGGTGTTGCAGCGATGGAAGTGGTCAAGAGAAGTGATTGTACCCGACCTAAAAAGCCTCTGCATGTTTCTAATAAGCTCCACGAGCAGAAACGTGCTCAAACTAGGATCAATATTGGAGATGCTTTTGAAAAATGGAGAGAGGTTAGAACACAGAAAGGTTTACAGACCCATGCAGAGCTGGATAAACACTGAAGCTTCAGTGTCCACCACATGGTGACCTGTGTGAGCATCTACTCTAGAGAGGAGGGGGGGGGGGAGAGACAGCTCTCTACAATGTTTAGAATTTAGACTGCAGTACCCTTTTTAAACACTAGGTGTCAGAGTTACATACTGCTCCTTTAAAAGGGCCAATTGGTGCAATGGTCCATTTATTTGTTTGTTGGACGTCTTGCTTAACTGAAAGCCGTTCTTTGCCTTAACGCTTCCTCAGGAAATGCAGAGTGACCTGGACAGAGAGACGGCCAGTCTGCAGGAACTGGAGGCTCAGAAACAAGATGCCCAGGACCGCCTGGAGGAGATGGACCAACAGAAACATAAATTAGAGGACATGCTGAACGAAGTGCGGATCAAGTGCCAGGAAGAGTCGCAGATGGTGAGAAATGAGAAACAAATTGCAGAAATGTACAGCTTGTTTTTTTTTGTTTTTTTACTGCTGTCAAATAATTTAAACAATGATCTTACATCAGAGGACAATGTAACAAAGAGATGAGATGTTGTAAAGTGTCAGTCATGTGATCTGCTGCAAGCAAAGAGAGAGAGCAGTAGTCGTCGAGTAACATCACACACATTACCCTTCTGCAATATTACCAGCATCATATTGATGTCCCTGAAGGTTTCATAATGTGTTACAGAAGAGAGAGAGGCATGGTGTGCAAACACACAGCGGGAGCTTTAGATACACAAACAATCATACATGCACACGCATACACACACACTAACACACACGGACACACTCACACACAGCATCGTTCCAGCTCGACCTTTCACCACCTCACATTGCAAACAAGATGTAACAGGAGCGTAAATATCACACCTTTGACCGGCAATATGTGAGAGCCAATAGAGAGTGAGTACAGTGAAACAGAATATGATTGGATATGTTTAATGACTGTTACAAACCTAGGCCCCGTGTTCACAGCGTCTTTCCTGGCAGAAAAGTGCTGAGTGTACGCTCGGAAACGCCTGATGAAGCGTTTATTCAGCTCATTCAAAGAGAAATGAGCGTGCTCGGCTGAAATTCAGAAACAAAAGAAAAGTGACCAGATAAAGATCAGTAACACTACATATGTAGAATTAAACAGATTGTGTTATTTTAGATACTGATGCAACAAGTCTGAGGCCCCGTGTCCACCTCGCGTTTTTTTTGGACACAGAAGCGCTGATTGTTCACTTGATGGAGCGTTTGTGCGCTGAGAAGAAAAGAGCTGCACTTCCCACGTTCCCAACAGTCTGAAGCCAACAGCTGCTATTTGACCGACACGGCTCCGTTATTTTTTACTGCATGTTTTATATTTGAGATCGTTTTTTTCCTGATCAGACTCGGCGCGAAGAGGATGTGAGTACAAGACACGATCAGTAGATGGCAAAAATTCTAGGAATATCTCGTATTTTGATAAAGGCGGCTCCGTCAACAGCACCTTTCTGAAAAGTTTGAAGATTTGCACGCTGGTGCTCAGAAGAAATGCTCGGTGGCCTTACATGGCCAAACTTCTGCATGAATGTGCTTCATGCACTGTGTGTCTGCTCTCAGACAGGAGACACAGAGATATCACCTGGGTGCTGTTTTCTCTTTTAGTCCTGACTGATGGCGTATGTATATGTGATGACTTGGAGGGAATATTTGAATGGGTCTATAAATATTTGTTAAAGTAAATCCATGCTGATGTAGTCGCTCATTACTGTTAACGGTGTGTTCAGTGGTAATTAAAAACAAGACAATTCCACAACTTTGGATACACAGACTGGACTTCTTGTTGCTGTGGTATCAAATATTGTTTCTACCAGACCAGTATGGTTCTTCCGTTAACCTTACAATCCTTTTTTCTTCACTCTTATTTGGCCTCCAGATCTCGTCCCTCCAGAGTCAGATTCACTCCCAGGAGACGGACCTGCAGAGCCAGGAGGAAGAGCTGACCAGGGCTAAGGCGGACCTTGGCAGGCTGCAGCAGGAGGAAAACCAGCTGGAGCAGAGTCTGGCTGCCGGCAAGATACAACTGGAGACCATCATCAAGTCCCTGAAGGCAACACAGGATGAGATCAACCAGGTAGGAAACAGGGTGTGTTTGTCTGAAATGTGCCAACAGAGGGCACCATTGCACTGCGTTATTTAGTGTCAGGATTTGGTTTCCCTGAGACACTAGAGGAACTCCAACATAACCTTTAGCTCTTTGTGGGTGTGGATTCCATTCAGGCTGTGGTTAGTTTTTTCTTCCAGTTGCTCTTACTGCCCATCACCACAGCAGCATACTGTATCCACACATTAGACTACTTGGGATTAGATCATGATGTAGTCTGAGTGTCTGTTCACTCTTTCGGTAAGGATTACATTCTCCTCAATGAACCACATTTACATTCATTGGTGACCTGCAGTCTATACAATACCACTACCCCCCTATGACAACCATGTGGCCCCCCCTCCAGTCAGGAGGCCTCATGGAGGGTCAGCGTCTCAGGAGTTGATCTTTGTAATAATGTCCAGTCATGCTGCTTCCAGTGATCGTCATGTTGACTTCATGACAAATGTCCCATGTACCTAATTAGTAATCATAAAACCTTTCATAAAATCTGCCACCGGGTCTATCAAAGGTCTAAATCCTGTCCTATGCTCTATTAAATGTCAGCATGCCCCCATTTAGGGGAGGAAACCCCCTATGTGATATCCATAATCTATCTACTGAGTATCAAATACTCGTCAAACTTCAGAGGTGGCTAAAAAACAACAGGTCAACAAAGAACAGCTGTTTTAGTAAGCTTGGATTCTGATGGACTCCAATGGGATCAAAATTTCTGCCAAAAGTCAGTAGTCAAATCTCAAAGGTGTAATATGAAGATGGCCAACAGGGTACCCCGTGCACAGCCTATACGTTCTCAGGTGAGCATGGGTGCAGGAACATACTGTACCATGAAAAATGAATCAAAACTCTGTGGCACACTAAAAATAACTTTATTCAATTGTGAGCGAACAACGCGTTTGGCCTGTAGCTTCCTCAGGTTGGGCGAACAGTTATCCTTCATTTCATAGTTGTAACGGCCTTTTTCTTTGTGGCGGCCGCAATGACCGTAACAAAGACTGATGCGACATGACATGTTTATGACGTGGAAACACCGGATGTTACGTCAAAGACTGCTGTATGATGTAAGGAAGCGCTAGCTGCTACTGAAAGCTGCTGTACTGTTGCTGTATGTGCTGCTGTGATAAAAACATCATGTAAAATATACTGTGATACATTGGTCATCACGACTACGCTCAACTAGGTTGTTTTCATCGGGGTGGGTGGCAGAGAGAATCACTCCCCTGATTCCCCGTTAGCCTCGACGTCATCTTTTGTTATTGTTTTTGATTGAGAGCCCCCTGGTGGTGGAATCTGCATACTGTGCCTTTAAAAACTTCATAAGACCTGTGTTGAATGTTAAATGCTCGGGCAGCCATTTTGTTTCTTTTTAGTTAACAGGCAAAGATTATAATGATGCTGTGTTGTCATGGAAACCGAATGTTGGAAAAAAATAAATCGGTCAAAGGAATTCTAGAACTCTGGATCCTCAAAGGAAGTTAGAATCTTCATATCCAACCTCAAGTAAAGGGCAAGAAAGCACAGACTCTCAACAGTTCACGGATTGATTCAGAGACTACAACAGTTCACAGATCTGATCTGAGACATTGTCTTTATAAAGACAACAAACAACTCAACATCCAAGACACTGATTCAACTAAGAACAGCAATGGAACAATCCCAGAGCTGGGGAGATATCATGGAGAAGGAGATGGGAGATGAGGAGGTTGGAGCTGGGGAGTTTAAATACCCCATGCAAGGAGCCAACCGCTGGAACCGCCGGCAAAACAACAACAAGCAGCGTCCTACTCAGCCAGAAGGTCAGACTTTCCACCGAAGGAGGGAGGAAGCCTACGGGCAGCACCACTGGCAGACCCAGAATGGACCTGATTGCTCACTGTCTCAGAGACGCCCACCCCAATGGCAGGTGGTTGCAGATCTCAGGAAAGAACTGGAAGGAGTGAAGGTTCTTCTGAAACAGGAGAGAGATCTGAGCAAGGCAGGGCGGGAGAGATACACCATCAGCAAGTCAAAGATCCAGGAGGTAGAAGAAAGGTTGAGGGTGGAGCAAGAAGAGAGACTCCAATGTGACCAGGAGATCAGGATGCTCAAACAAAAACTCCAGGAACAACCTGTAGTGAACCAAAGCAGCAAGAAACTCTGCAATCTGAAAAAGAGGCCCTGCTGGAAAAGATTAAGGTCATGCAGAAAGACACCTTCAGCAAGGACATCAAGACCGCTAAGCAGACCATGGCCTTAAAGTACCAGCTGGAAGAAGTAACACTAAGCAGGCAACACCTCTTCTCCAAACTGGAAGAACAGGAGGAGGCCAATCTGGGGCTGCAGAAGGAGTTAAGAGACTCCAAAAAGAAAAGGCAGCACCATAAAATGATGGCTGACAACCTCAGGAGAGAAATGGAGGAAGTCAGGCTTCAGCATCTGGAGAGGGCCAACAAGGACCGGATGCTGGTAGAGAGACTGACAGAGGAAAGAGTCACTAGAGCAGGAGGTGAAGGTCTTCAAAGAAGAGGTAGAGGAGATCAATTGTGCACTGCAGAAGGAGGTGGAGGAGCTCCAAAAAGACAAAGAGCACCACACATTGAGGGCTGACTGCCTTCAGAAAGAGCTGGAGGAAGTCAGTCAACTGTGCACTACCAGTGAGGAGATCACTTCCTGGAGGAAGGCTGAGAAGATCTGCACTTCAGAAAGCCGCCAGAGGAGGCAGCTCGTCTCCAAACTGGAGAGACAGGAGGAGATGATTTACTCTCTGAAGAAGAAGGTGGAGGAGCTCCAAAAAGACAAAGAGAACCAAAAGTTGAGGGCTGACCGCCTTCAGGAAGAGCTGGAGGAAGACAGTCCACCGTGTCCTACCAGAGAGGACATCACTATGTTGAGGAGGGCTGAGAAGATCTGCGCTTCAGAAAGCCGCCGGCACCAATACAAGCGGCAGAGGAGGCAGAACCTGGACCCAAAGTGACCGCACCAGCCCCTCCTCCTCCCCACCTTTCCACCTCCAAACTCCCCCCAACACACACAGGCTGTAACAGGCCTGGCAGCACAGGGGAACACATCAAGTCCTAACAGACAGGAATCCACTGGTACCTGTCTGTCAGGACTCTTCATGTTCCCACTGTGTCTATGTGGGTTTTTTTCTCCGGGTGCTCCGGTTCATCCCACACAAACCATTTGGAAATAATTACAATAAAAAGTTTGGATAACATTTTTTCTGTGTAGTTGTATTTCTGATGTGAAGTGATTGACTTTTTGTTGTTTGCACACTGGATATGTTCATCATATTTCTCAGATATCTTTTATTTATCTTTTATTTATTTATTTTTAAATCTGATGTCTGTTTTAAAAACTGATTTGACTCATTTTGATGGTTTTATGTGTTTGAATGTTCTTATAAAGTCAAATCTTCCAAACAAAAGTTTTTTTGTTCCCTTGATGAGAGAAAACAAACATTAAAAGGCCAAACCCATCTGACAAAACAAGTGCAAGAGCCAAAGAGATGACGAGATGTATCGGTGTTTTCATGGAAACATTAAAGGAATCTTTTTCAGTCATCTCATACTTTTGTCTTCAGACTCACTTTGTAAAATAAATCGTGAGAGAATCGTATCGTGAACCCAGTATCTTGAATGGTATTGTGAGTTGAGTGAATGGTTACATCTCTTTTTAAATATATAAATAATATGAAATAATGTTAGGAGATTGTCTATGAAAATGTTAAAGTGCTCACAGGTCAGGAAATGATTGGGAATGTGTAGGGTGGAGTTTGTCCTGCTGCTCTACTGTTTGTTCAGTAGTGGTATGGAGAGAGTGTTTGAACCTGTTCCTGTAAAGCCTGGCTCACACTGCAGGATAATCGGGCCGATTTGGGCTCTGATTCTTCCTTCCCGACAATCGCAGGGTTGCTCCCGACTCGAGGCTACTCGGACCCGATTATTTGCTCACATGATCTTGTAATGTGAGTGGTACAAAGATCCAATCTTAACGTCCCCGATCTTCCCGGTGATCGTCAGGGACGCCCAGATTTAGTTCAAACATGTTTAATATTTAGAATTTGAAGTCTTGACAATTACATCATGAAATGGTCCGGCAGAAGTTGTGTGTGACTACAATATAATCACGAGAGACAAGGGAGCGCTGTAGTCATGGCGACCAGCGGCAGGACGCAGCCCATGTTTTTGTTTTTTTTTCATTTTTCAGTACAGATCATCAGTGCAGCACTTTTCTGCAACTCGTATCCATATATCTACAATTGTAACAACTTTCCTCTATCCTACAACAACTTCCACTTCCTTCTCTTTCACCAACCGTCGTCCTTTGGAGTTTTCAAATGAAACTTTATTAACAATTGTCAACACTTCGTCCCGATTTCATTCATACAGTGTGAGCTTTCCGGCCGTGCCCGACAATCGGGTCATACAGTGTGAGCACATCAATCTCAAGGTCTGGTCGGGCGTCGTAAACGATTCAGTCGTACAGTGTGAGCTGACATGACACCCCGACTTTTATACAATCGGGGAAAATCGTACAGTGTGAGCCAGGCTTTACAGTCTGCCACCCCAAAAGCCCTTCCAGAGGGCAGGAGCTGATACTCCTCATGTAGGACATGAGAAGGTTGGAGGCTATCTTCCCTCCCAGTCTGAGGCTGTGCTTAGTGCAGCTCACCAGGAAAGCTGCACTGCATATAGCTACACTGCAGCAGATAAAGATACTCTTACTTTTATCTAAAGGCGCAGATTGTCTTAATGTCCACCTTTGTCACCACAATGCAAAATACATATTTCGCTATTATCACACAAGATAGCTATCTTCCCTCCCAGTCTGAGGCTGTGCTTAGTGCAGCATATTTAAACAAAAAGATGCATTTAGTGTCCGCACAAAATGTCAGAACTAGTTGTGGATGTTTTGAGTAGCATGTGTTCAGGAATCTGCTTTTGTTTTTTTTAAACTGAAGCTGCAGATTAAAGCAGATAAAGATACTCTTACTTTTATCTAAAGGCGCAGATTGTCTTAATGTCCACCTTTGTCACCACAATGCAAAATACATATTTCGCTATTATCACACAAGATAGCTATCTTCCCTCCCAGTCTGAGGCTGTGCTTAGTGCAGCTCACCAGGAAAGAGCGCTCAATACACTGACCCACTATCTTTGAGCAGATACCCAGGAGTCTTATAGTGTCCTTGACTTTAGCTGGATTGAGAGGTCGCAGGACCAGACTGGGCCTCTGTATTGTAGGAGCAGAAGAATAGGTGTACAGTCAAATCTTCTCACTGGCTCCAAATGATCTGAGTCCCCTCAGGAAATGAATCCTCTGTTGGGCCCTTTAGTTAATCCACATGCGTTCAGGAAAGAGCATTGTCTACATCCACTCCCAGATATTTAACACACCCCTGGTGTGTCTCACACGTCCTTCATGTTGGGTATCTTCTAAACTGACATATTTAAACAAAAAGATGCATTTAGTGTCCGCACAAAATGTCAGAACTAGTTGTGGATGTTTTGAGTAGCATGTGTTCAGGAATCTGCTTTTGTTTTTTTTAAACTGAAGCTGCAGATTAAAGCAGATAAAGATACTCTTACTTTTATCTAAAGGCGCAGATTGTCTTAATGTCCACCTTTGTCACCACAATGCAAAATACATATTTCGCTATTATCACACAAGATAAGCCCCAGATGACGATACTCAAAGATTGAATATGGTGTAGTGGCAAAAAGTGCCACTGGAGGGAATTTTAAGTCATTTCCAACTCATGGTGGGTAAAAAATGGAATGTCCGCCGTTAATTGTGTTTGCAGTATTTATTTATCAGCAGTCTTAAAAACACCAACAAAAACACGGGTGTAGGCCTATTCTGCATCAGACAAAACTAAACATAGATAAAGTCTAAACGCGCCAGACAACATCTTCACACACCTATGGTTGAAAAACTGTGTGGCTTCCACTAATTCCCTATCCCCATTCACCTGTGTCTCCCCTTTCTACCTACCTGTGGCTGTAATTACCAACTATGCCCAGGTGCGCAGGTGACGTTTGCAGCAGAAAACGTCCACACAACCAACCACACACACAAACCACAACACACATGAAATTGGCGACAACATATGGACTATTTGTTCCAGTTGCTCAGGTATTTGAATTTCATGCAGAATGAGTGTTAATTTATGCGACTTGTTTTGGTGTTTTCCGATACACAAGGAGCTCTTTAAAGCGGACATATTCTGAAAAATCCACTTCTGCAGTGTTTTTGAACATAATAATCCATCCAGTCAGGGCGCGCTGGTGGCGCAATGGTTAGGGCGCGCATCCCATATATTGAGACTCTCGTCTCGAGCGGTAGGCCCGGGTTCGCTTCCACCCGTGGCCCCTTTCCGCATGTCATTCCCCGCTCTCTCTCCCTGGTTTCCAACTCTATCCACTGTCCTCTCTCTGCATTAAAGGCACGAAAAGCCCAAAATAAATCTTAAAAAAAAAAAATAATCCATCCAGTCCTTTGTTTGTGGTCTGCATAAGTCTTACAACACAGAGAAAAATGCTCTGTTTCAAATGTGCTCTCCTTGTGATCTCACAGTGGGATTCTGGTAAAAAAAAAAAACTCCCGTCCCCTGACATCTCCACCCATGGACTCCACCCCCAGCCTAGAGCAAAACTTTTGTGCAGGTCCTCCATTGTTATTCTCTCTACAAAAGGAGTGATGTCTACGGGGTAAACTCAGGGGGGGAGGGGAGGGGAGGGGAGGGTGTCATTGCATTTAAAGAGACACACACACCAAAACGGAGCATTCTGAGAGAGCTGGTTTATACAGGGTCACAAACCTTCTCTGGTGCTTGATTCATGTTATATTTTGACCAAAGCACAGCACAGATGTTTCATTTAGACCACAGGGGGACTGTTTGAAAAGGTGGAGGAGAGGGACAATATTTCCTCTTTAAATCAAGAAGACTGCAATGTCATGCTTCCCCTGAACGTTTTGTGTTTCTGTTTATTCTGCAGGCTCGAAGTAAGTTGTCCCAGATCCAGGACAGCCAACAGGAAGTGTCTAAAAGCATTGAGCAGTACAACAGCACGTTGAATGGAACCCATGGAGGCAGCATGACTAACCTGGCGGACATGAGTGAAGGCTTCAGTGACAGAGAGAATGGAGGATTCCCCCCCATGGTGAGAGCTGTTCAGGTCAGGACGTCTACAGAACCTCTGCCTTTACCTACTGATGTACTGGATTACATTTTTCAAAAGCATCTGCAATATTGATCCTAGTTTGAGCATGTTTCTGCTCGTGGAGCTTATTAGAAACATGCAGAGGCTTTTTATGTCGGGTACAATCACTTCTATCTGAACCACTTCTCTTGACCGCTTCCATCGCTGCAACACCTGTTGACCTGATAACTGCTCTCATATCTGACAAACCGAGGGGCGTCCAAAACGGCCGTGTGGGGGGGGTGTCTTAAAAGCGCCTACCTTCTCTGGTCCAAACAAATCCAGAGCATTCAGGAGCAGAATCTAAAGTTAGAAGGAGGACATACTGACTGCTGCATTGTTGTCAGAGAAGCCAGCACTTCAACATAGCATGTTTCCTTAATATCTGATCAGATAGTAAGATACCTTTATCATTTCACTCTCTACACATCTCACTGACTGGACCTTTAACTGTCCCACAATATACAAACATATTAATTAGATCATATGTTAACGTTCTGTGCTCCCCCAGCCAGAGAGAGAGAGAAAGAAAGAGAGCACATACGAGCAGCGTGGACACACAGATCTGACCTTAGGCAGAGAGGTACTTTTCAGAGCAAGGAGAGGAGATTTATTTATCCTCCAGTGTCAAAGTGTACTCGTCTCTGCTGGTGTGTGTACACAATAAGTAGAAAATGATGAGACCTTTTAAAGATGCATGTGGTGATGGGGAGTAGACTTCTGAGGAGCTGGTGACTGACAGTGAAAGCGAGAGGAGCAGATTTAAAGTCAGCAGGATGATGGGTGGATAGAGGTCTGATCATTGGAGCAAGCAGAGATAGTGAGAGGTAGAGAGAGAGGGAGCGATATGAATAAAGACTATATGTAAGAGTCTTCCTGCGTGACCTTTGCCTGAGCTTAATTTCTGCCAACAACCACTGACTGAACTCTTCCTCTGTCTGTGTGACTCACAGGAGGATCCCTTCAAAGTGAAGCCATCTGTGTTCAACAGCCAGCCTCAGGAGCTTCCCACTGACCCCTTCCACTCTGAGGATCCCTTCAAAACTGACCCATTCAAAGGTTTGTACACTCACTGCCCTCCTCTTTCTCTTTCCTTTCTTCTCTTCCTCCACTCTCCTCTGTCTTCCCTTTAGGGGTTTCCTTGATGTGAAAAAAAAAACAGGCAATGTCGCAGAAATTGTAAACTGTCAGCTGGTCAAACTGTTAACCCTCTTGCATCATTATGGACATTTATGTCCATTTGGTCAAAAGTTTCCTCTTTATCTGGACATCATTTTGTCTGTGTTAGTGCATATGGCACACATTTTTGTAAGAAAGTCTCTTAATAAATTTTTGATTTTTTAATAGACCAATAGAACACTGTGAAACATGTTTACTACCCTCTTAAGTCACTAAGGACAAAAATGTCCACTTCCAAAAATCTGCTAACAGATCGATATTTTTTTCTACTTTTTTCTGCATACATCTCTTAAACAACTCCAGCCCTGCTCAAAACTACCAAACATTCAATGTTTAAGGCATCAGTTTAATTTACTACCCTTTTAAGTCACTAAAAATGTCCTTAGGAATTTAACCCTTAATGCCCTAAATGCCAGAATCATGTAATCAAACTGGCATTTAAAGGGTTAAATTCCTAAGGACATTTTTAGTGACTTAAAAGGGTAGTAAATTAAACTGATGCCTGAGGGTTAAAGAACCTGAATAATTTGGGGTTGCAATTAATAATAATAATTCGTTGCAGAATCCGTGGGTTTGAATCTGACCTCGGCCCTTTGCTGCATGTCATCCTCAAACACTGACTTAGGAAGAAACAGATCAGATGAATCTGTCTCAGCACTGTCCTTCCTTTCTGTGTATTTCCTCCTCTGATTATCTTGTTTTCTTTGTCTCAGTGAGCTGACTTTTGTCTAAGCTTGAGTTGTTCTCTGACTGTCCACTTTATCTTTCTCCTCAGGTGACCCTTTCCAAAACGACCCCTTTGCAAAGCAGCCATCAGCAGCCACAGGTATTCAGAAAGCTCTCCGCCTTTTTTGCTGCGAACGCTCAAGTTGAAAATCTTTCATCTTTTCAGAAAGGCGCTGTTGATGTCACCGGCATTCCTCTGTAGTTTTGTCTCCTACAGATCATGTCTTGTACTCACATCCTCCTCGCTCCGTGTCTTATCAGTAAATAAACGATCTCAAATATAAAACATGCAGTAAAAAGTAACGGAGCAGTGTCTGTCATACAGCGGCCGTTGTCAATAGACTGTTGTCATGGAGATAGGACGGACTCAGAGCACAAACGCTTCCTCTTTGAATGAGTGGAATGAATCTGCTACTTGGACGAATGACTTGGAGGCTACAAACGCTTCCTCTTTGAATGAGTGGAATGAATCTGCTACTTGGACGAATGACTTGGAGGCTACATATTTATTTTGATAGTTTGAAGACAACCTGTGTCTCTCCTCTGAAGCAGTGTGCTGCTCAGTCTCCGTCTTGTTATTCTCCTGCATCACGTTCCCGTACTGTCTTTATCTACTGAGGTCAAGAGGGCATGCAATGGTCAGGTAACACTGAGAGCGCCCTCTGCTGGATCTAACTGATAACTTCTTCAGACGGCCTGATGTGCAGGTAGACTGTTTATTTTGAATTCAAACGGCTCATTACAGTTCAAATGTGAATATTCTCCCCAGATTCGAGTAAATGTTTGAATTTAGAATATGACCTGTTCTCAACGTCTTCCTGTGTTTTGATAAGATGAATCTCTCGACATGCACTGAAACACGACCCTGTTACGGTCTGCTGATGAAGTGAACAATTCCCCGGTAAATGGTGTTCTTCTTACTCTTCTAAAGGGCGTCACACAGCATTGAGCTCGTCTCTTGTTGAAGTCCCTGTGCATGTGTGAAAGAGCACACTTCCCTCTCAGCAATATTACAGTTTCTCTTCTGTTCTCAGTAGATGGAGATCAGTGGTGTCCTTTTTCTCACAGCAGAATCCCCACTGTTTCAAAACTGCAGCTGCTTGCTTCTCCATACTGTGCAGGGATTTCTGAAAAGTATCCTGAAGAACATGCATCGAGGAGAACACTTTTGTGACACTTTACTGAAGTCTGATGTTTGGTGTGAAGACGATATCCGCGATTTCTTAGCAGAGTTCATGACCTGCAGGATGCCTCGTATCATAACCATCTATTAGGTTCAAAGAAGAGCACTGACTCAAAGCGTGGACTTGTTTTGATTACACTGATCTGACAGGATTACTCTTGCATAACACAGGTTGCCTAAATAAAAAGACTTCTGCAGAGTTTGTTTCTCAGATCACAGAGCGATACTGCGGCTTATTACACGTAAAGGCTCGAGGAGCTCGTGTCATTAAATGTGAATTTCTGCTTCTGGTCCAGTAAAGAAAAGTAAAAGTAGTGAGAACAAAACTCACTGAAGTGTCTTTTGTTCCTGCTTCAGATCCTTTTGGAGGAGACCCGTTCAAGGAGACCGACCCGTTCAAGGCATCATCAGAGGACTTCTTCAAAAAGACTACAAAGATGGATCCCTTCTCTACACCTGAACCTTCAGTAAAAGTGCCACGTTACCCTCCAAGGTACGTGTGACACTATGTGTGTTTGATTAACCCAGAGTGGCAGAGAAAGACTACAAAGATGGATCCTTCTCTACACCTGACCCTTCAGTAAAAGTGCCACGTTACCCTCCAAGGTACGTGTGACACTATGTGTGTTTGATTAACCCAGAGTGGCAGAGATTGAAATGTTGCTGCGTATTATTTAATGTACAATGTACAGCATGAGGAGAAGCAGGACTAAATACAGTGACTCAGCACATTTAGAGTTTTTTAATCATGGTAGATATAAAGATGCAATCATAATATGAGTTTGATTTGAGTGAATGTATTGATGACCGAGTGTTTCCTGTTTCCTGTTTCCTGCAGCAAGCCGGTCACTTCTCAAGCAATGACCCGTTCTCTTCAAACAACCCCAACCAAAAGGGTCAGGTATGATGTCATTATTCATTTTCAGCTCAACAAGTTTCCTCCTCCTAACCACTTTTTACCAAATAACCGTCTCTTACGTCCTGTCAGTTTGGAAATATCAAAACAGTCCCATATGGAGGCCTTTTTTTAATTTGATGACCGAGTGTTTCTGTTTCCTGTTTCCTGCAGCAAGCCGGTCACTTCTCAAGCAATGACCCGTTCTCTTCAAACAACCCCAAACCAAAAGGGTCAGGTATGATGTCATTATTCATTTTCAGCTCAACAAGTTTCCTCCTCCTAACCACTTTTTACCAAATAACCGTCTCTTACGTCCTGTCAGTTTGGAAATATCAAAACAGTCCCATATGGAGGCCTTTTTTTAATAATAATCATTTATACTTTATTAATCCCGCCAAAGGAAATTCGGTTTAGCACTCTGTTTAATGAACATGCTACACACACACAAACAGGATCCTTTAATGGCGAGGTCTCAGAGTGCGTGAGCTGCCAACAGCGAGTGCTTTTTGGGGTTAGGTGCCTTGCTCAAGGGCACCTCAGCAGTGCTCAGGAAGTGGACTGGCACCCCTCTGGCTACCAGACCAATTTCCGGACTTGGTATGTGCTGAGAATCGAACCAGCGACCCTCCAGTTCCAACCTAAGTCCTATAGACTGAGCTACTGCTGCCCGGACTAACTCTTAAAGTCTTTATATGTGATTTTTCACACTTAAACATAATATAAATCAAGTATATCCCTGAAAATAACTCTGTGAGTCATGACTGTCTACAATGGGTGTAACACCCGAGTCCCACTGTCTCTGTGATGTTTTCAGAGTTTCAGAGTCCTACCTTCACTTTGTTTACATCTCCCTGACTCCTCCCCTCGTGTATAAAGTTGTTTAATTGAGGGACTAGAGAAAAGAAGAATAACATACTGTACTCACTGCTTAACTGTGTTTCTAGATCACGCTCATTTCAGGTAAATTTACATGCAGTGTGAAGATACGAGCAGAATAAAGATTGCTAGCATTAGCATGCTAACACAACAATGCAGTGCGAGTTGTTTTGGTTTCATGCTGGTGCTCAAGGGCGACATCTGCTGGATCCGCTGCGGAGCAAACGGGGAGATGCGTCTGTGAAGGAGCTTAAACTGCAGCATGATAAAATAAAACCTCTGTAGAACTGGATCTATGATCTCTGATGATCGTCAACACGTTCTAATCCTTCAAGATCGAAGATCGTCTTATTGCACACCACAAAGTGAAAGCATGAATCTCTCCTCCCAAAGTGTCTGCAGCCGAGCTGATGTGACACCAGTCTGAAGTCTGACTTTAACTGTTGACTTCTATCTAAACTAAAGCACAGAGAGGAGTCTGTTTGTCTTTAGGTCAGGTCAGTGTTCTTCAGTGGTGTGTTCATGCAGTCCTCTTTCAATGAGCTGTTTGTTCTCTGCCACCAAGAACAGCTCTTCTATTTCCTCCAGGATATTAATGTAGACAATACAAACACGTGCCTGGTCTGGGTCAGCGTGGGTCTCAGTGATGGAGGGAACACAAGCCCGTCACCACACCGAGGCCACTGTTTACTTAGACTGAGGTTACCATGTTGGTTTGCCTATTAAAGCCGTGGCGTGACAGGAAAGGTGTCACATTTGCTTACTCAGTGCTACAAGTTCAATTCCAAACTGATTCTTTTTAAGGTGTCGATATAGAGCCTTCACATTCTCACTGACTGGTTCAGCCCGGCTCTTGTTGCAGTTTGTAAACACAACATTCAAACTGGACTCCTCCTCCTCCTGGGCTCACTGCAGGATGTAGTGTGTACGTTTACTGCTTGTAGCTACACTGCAAGCTAACGCACGCTAGCACAAGCTAACCTCCGGTGTTGTCACCTTCCTGTCCAACAGGAAGTAGACCAACTCCACGTCCACGGTTAAAAGACAACACAAGGTTCACCCTCGTTTTAGAACGAGCTTTATCCACTTGGTGTTTCTCCTCACAGTGATTATATTTTTTATCCACTCCTAAAGTCACCTGCTGCCCTCTCATTGGCTGGAGGAAACACACTAGCTCCGCCCAGAAACGTGCCGAGTCAACCAGAACAAAGCAGAACAGTAAAATCCAGTCAGAGGACAGAGTCTCTGCAGACACAGTCACCACCACACATGTATGGAGGCCCAGAAGAGACGATGGAGCAGCTTCACTTTAGGAGAAGTCTGTCTTTTATTTTGAAGGAACAAGCTGCTGACTCTGTCTTTACTTTAGGAGAAGTCTGTCTTTTATTTTGAAGGAACAAGCTGCTGACTCTGTCTTTACTTTAGGAGAAGTCTGTCTTTTATTTTGAAGGAACAAGCTGCTGACTCTGTCTTTACTTTAGGAGAAGTCTGTCTTTTATTTTGAAGGGACAAGCTGCTGACTCTGTCTTTACTTTAGGAGAAGTCTGTCTTTTATTTTGAAGGAACAAGCTGCTGACTCTGTCTTTACGTTAGGAGAAGTCTATTTTATTTTGAAGGAACAAGCTGCTGACTGTCTTTACTTTAGGAGAAGTCTGTCTTTTATTTTGAAGGAACAAGCTGCTGTCTTTTATTTTGAAGGAGACAGGATACTGACTCTGTCTTTAAACATATCAAACTGTTCTGTGCACTTTAAAAGCGTCCTTGTTGCTGCTTAGTTGTTACCACTGTAACAAATGAACGCGTTTCTTCTACTAGATCAATCAGCTTTCTGGGGAAGGTCGTTATCAAAGGAGAAGAAAGATGGGTGAGGGAAGTCGATTCCTTTCTATGACAATCGTTTAAATGATAAAAGATTTCATCCAGGTAAAGGCGGCAACAAGAAATGTTTAACTGTGATATTTTTGCTCCTCCTTGCGAGGTAGTGAAGATCCAGGCAGACACCCGCTGAAGTATAGTGAGCTCAGGAACACTTACACTTGAGGAGAGTACTAATAGATAATGATGCCCTGCTTATTTTCTGTGTTTCTGTTTTTTGTTGTTTAGACCTTTTCGGCACGTTGGACCCGTTTGGCAGCGGTTCGTTCAGCAGCAGCAGCACTAACAGCTCTGCTGGGTTTGCTGACTTCAGCCACATGTCCAAACCAAGAGACCCTTTTGAAGGCAGAGCCAGCTGGCTGCCAGACTATCAGAAGGTAACTCATTCAATTAATCTTAAGGTCAAATCAGTGAGATGTGTATTGAGTGAAATGATAAAGGTATCTTACTATATGATCAGACATTAAGGAAACATGCTATGTTGAAGTGCTGGCTTCTCTGACAACAATGCAGCAGTCAGTATGTCCTCCTTCTAACTTTAGATTCTGCTCCTGAATGCTCTGGATTTGTTTGGACCAGAGAAGGTAGGCGCTTTTAAGACACCCCCCACACGGCCGTTTTGGACGCCCCTCTGTTTGTCAGATATGAGAGCAGTTATCAGGTCAACAGGTGTTGCAGCGATGGAAGCGGGCAAGAGAAGTGGTTCAGATAGAAGTGATTGTACCCAACCTAAAAAGCCTCTGCATGTTTCTAATAAGCTCCACGAGCAGAAACGTGCTTAATGACAGCTCTCTACAATGTTTAGAATTTAGACTGCAGTATCCATTTTAAACACTAGGGGTCAGAGTTACATGCTGCTCCTTCAAAAATCAAAATGTGTTTTGAGTGCAGTACACATTATTCAGAGGTTGTTCACCTGTGGCGAAAATGCTCAGAATAAAAATGACTAAATACTAAAATCCACACTGTGGTATGATGGATGTGTCAGATTTGTTCCAGTGGGCAGCACTTTCTCACTGTGGATTTACGAGATTCATAATTATGTAAACAACAGGGATTTATCTTCAGTGGAAGTTTTAACTACCATATTTTCCGCACTATAAGGCACACTTAAAAGCCTTTAATTTTCTCAAAAAACAACAGTGCGCCTTATAATCCGGAGCGCCTTATATATGGATCAATTGGTTAATTGGTTGATCCATACTGGTTGTACACGGCGCTCAGCGACACTGACTCGGATAATGACGAGAGGGAGCCGGGCATGTTGGATGCCGTACTCGCCCAACTGTTCAGTTCGGACACTGAAGAAGAAGAATTCGAGGGATTCGTGGACGGGGAATGAACTGAAAAAGTGAGCTTTACGTGTTACACGTAACTGAACAATGTTGAGTTATGCACTAACGTTTGAATTAGCGGTATCAGACTGTGTTTCTTTTACGTGTTTACAACTGAACAAGGCTGGGCGATATTGTGAATATGCACATTAACGTTTGAACAACGTTGAGTTATTGTGAATGCACTAATGAATGAACAATTTCGAGAGTTACTATATTGTGAATGCACTAACGTTTGATTTAGTGGTATCAGACTGTTTCTTTTACTACGTGTTTACTGAATCAGGGAAAAGTTCCCCTCCACGTTTGGGAGAAGAGGAGTGGATGCATAATGCAGTTTGACTGCAGTATCTTCTATTCTATGCGCCTTATAATCCGGTGCGCCCTATATATGAAAACAGTTCTAAAATAGGCCATTCATTGAAGGTGCGCCTTATAATCCGGTGCGCCTTATAGTGCGGAAAATACGGTAATTGAGCGTTTGCTGATCCAATCCTATGTTTTTCATGCTTGATATTTTTGCAGAACATTCATGACCTGATGAAACTGCTCATATTGACTTTTTGTTCTTTTCTTTCAAGTCTGTGTTTGTGGACGATCCATTCTGCCGGAAGAATGACACACCAGCTCTTCCCCCAAAGAAAAGTGTTCCACCAAGACCTAAACCCCCCAGCGGTGAGTGTGGCAGCACTTTGGAGAAGGAGGGTGATTAGTTCTCATCACCACATAACCTCATGCTCTACATCAACACTTCTGTGGGTGTTACAAACAAACTGAAAGCTCAGCTGGCTGAATCAGAAACAAAATGATTTCTTTTGTTTCTGATTCAGGTTTTTAAAATGAGGCACATTAAGAAATCTCAATTATAAACGATGTAGCTGACCAGAGGAGAAGGTCAAACTAAAGAACAGCCTTCAGATTCAGACCACTTTATTAATCGCGAGCTGTCATGCTTCTTGCGGCCGGCGAGCACGGTCCCTACGAACATCTAGTTGTTTCATACTGATTGCGGTCAGAGCGATCTGATTGCTCAACACGGCCTGAAGAAAGTACTTCCGGGCCCTGTAGCCAATCATTGCAATGCGGTCGGCACAAACTTGTCTGCGTTGTTGCAAAAGGAGGTGCGCGGCTGGGCGACAGACCCTCTCGTGGACCATTCTCGCGCCGACCGTGATTATACAATATCGCCGCGCCGACCTCAAGAAGCATGAAACCTGATTCAATGAGTCGCAATGTGCAGCACATGGCTAATTTACATAACGTTATTTTTCTGTGAAAACACTGTGGGAAGATTCGAAGTCTGGCTAGCAAGCCAGCCTTTCTGTTAAACATACTGTCTGATCATATTTACCATTTGGTAGCCATAGGTAAAGATGATGAGAGAAATGTGTGCTTGAAAGTAACTTCATACAGCTCTCTGGTTCATTATTATCTCAGGCAGCATTAAAGTGACAGCTGGTCAACACATGTAATAAGAGAGAGAATATAAACTTAATGAAAATCAGCAGGAGCAAAACATCAGGTTCATATATTGATAATGTTACATATTTAATTATAGAATTATTGTCATACTTGATGACTGCATTATGATGCTCTCTCAGACTCTGCTCTGAGAGCTACTTGCATAGTGACTGCCCTTCACATCACCCCTTAGTGGAACATGGTAAGCCCTGTTCTGCAAATTCATCCCATTTATAAAAAGGGACTGAAGGTTGGGAGCACAGGTTTTTCATGTTTCACTGAAGCGTTATCAAAAAGTTATAACTGTAACAACACCACAGGTAAGTGAACCCAAAAGCACGACTCACGACGCAGTCTTAGATGGGGGAAAAAAAACAGTCTTTACTCTTGAAGATACAATCCAAAAAAGTGATCAAAGGGGAAACAAAAGGCTTGAACGCTTCTCACAGGGGTCGAAGACGAACTGGCACAGAAGGAAGGGAAGCTACAGACTAAATAGTAGGGTGAGGGGGAAGACAACGAGATGCAGCTGGGAACAATCAGGGCGGGGCAGACAATCACACAGGTGGGAAACACATGAGGGCAGGAAGTGAAGGATCTGAAACGAGAGGAGAAGTTAGTGACCCAAAACAGGAAATAATACAAGGTAGAAATAAAAACAACCTAAGACACTGAGCTGGACATGACAATAACAGAACATAGATATCGACAAGCAATTGTGTTTTTCTTATTGTTTGCACTGCTTCTTTAGTCTGAATGCTAAAATCGTCTGTAAATTCACAATTTAAAGCTGATTTTTGTTTTTGTTTTAAATCTTCCTGGGGGGGGGGGGCATGCCCCCGGACCCCCCTTGGATGTTTGAATCCATGTCACCTTTTTCATCCCTGATCAGTTTGCACCCCTGATTTCCCACAATCCCATGATAAGATACATGCTTTGATTTTGGATAATAACCACGTCCTACAACAGCTGTTCTTTACGGTTGAGAACAGCAGAGTGTATCAGTTCAGCTCCTCACAGATCAAAGAGATACATTCAGATATTTGAATCCCTGAAGGTGTTGCTGTGAGCTGCAGCACAGATCTACTGTCTTTACAAACTGTCTATGATGATCCATTCTGTAACATGTGCATAGATACATGTGTTTACGACCATATAAAGGAGACAAACAGCAGCAGCATAGATTGTGTGATCTGTGTGATAGAGCTCAGGTGTAAACAGTCCTGAGTTATCTCACTTCTTTTCTCCCCTGTAGAAATCAGTCTTACACTCTGGTCTCATCTGTCAACAGGAAATGACGTGACTGTGGGTACAAAGATAAAAGACCTTTCTCACATTCACCGTGTTGCTGCTGTTTTCACAATCTGTGTTCATGTCAGTTTTTCTATTCTCACCCACAGTTACAACTAGAAGCTTCTTTAAGATCATGTTGGAACATTAAGCTTGAAAGATGAATTTATCTGGTGCAAAGTGCTTGTGTTGTTTCACGCTCACAACTTTTTTCTTTCTTGTGTTCATCATCTCACTGAGGTGTTTGTTTGATGATCACTTTCTGATTATTTGTCTCCGTGCGGTGTGCAGCATCGTCTCTGTTTTCCTCAGTGCATATTGAGCAACATGAACAGGCTTATTGGAAATCAGCTGTTTACACACTGCAGACTGACGAAGCTTTCTGAGGAGAGTAAAATGTTTGCTCTGCTCGAGAGGAAACCTCTTGTTATTTGAGTGCCTGTTTAGACAACCTTTACTGTGATGTCATGGCTGACCTCTGGCCCGCATTAATGACACAGAAAGAATGAATCAGGAGAACTTTCAGAGAGCGTTTCAAGCTCAAGATATCAGAATCAGAATCAGATTTATTGGCCTGGTATGCTTACACACAAGGAATTAAATGACTAAATATGAAACAGTGCAGTGGTGAATAGTGCACCTGTGATGCTTCTCCTTCAATCTGAATGTTGTGAAGGTGTAATGGGGGGAGGAAGTGGGGGAGCACAGCGCTGTGTGTGTGTGTGTGTGTGTGTCTGACTGGGTGTGTATGTGGAGCTCCCGATGTGCTCTGAAATCACAGATTAAGACACTAATATTGTGGGCGTTGCAGAATCAATACGAAGGTACAAAGAGGTGATGACGGCTGAGCTCAGTTACAGCACTGTAGTGCTCAAAGCAGTGTGACGGTAGAAGAAAGGAAAGGAGCTCATGCTTGATTCTGTCCTCATGCAACACTTTCCCTGTGAGTCTGATCTTTTCATGAAACGTTCCCTTTCTGTGTTTGAGTCTAAACTGTTCCTGCTCTTTCCCCACATGTGATTTAGTGAAGAGGACAGGAACTAGAGAGGCCTGCTCCCACTCTGACACTCGTCTTATCTTTCTTCATCATGAACAGTCCAGATCCAGAAGCTGTCAGTTTGCTTCAGATGAATGTTTCAGTACATTTCATACAGTTAAAGTTCACATCACGCTGCTCTGAAGTTTGACTGTCAGCACATGTGAGGGGGATGTTGTAAGAGCTGTAAGCTGTGGTTCCCTTGGCTGTTGTTTGCAGACACACCCAAGCTTGCTTCCCCTCTACCTCTTTAGTGTGTGTGTGTGTGTGTGTGTGTGTGTGTGTGTGTGTGTGTGTGTGTGTGTGTGTGTGTGTGTGTGTGTGTGTGTGTGTGTGTGTGTGTGTGGTCAGGCTGCAGACTGTGCATGCTTGTATTAAAGCTAACTTTGTTACCGATGATATAAATGTCTTCCTGCTTATATATCTAATTTGGGTCTTTATGTTTAGTAGCTTGCACTCCCTCTCACACACACACACACACACACACACACACACACACACACACACACTTGCCTTCTATCATCATCTAATGTGTTGTGAAAGGGCCGTGCCTCCAGAGACAGATAAACTGGTATTAATATAGAATCAGAATCAGATTTATTGTCCAGGTATGCTTACACACACTATGAATTTCACTTTGGTGAACTGTGCTCTCTTATGTACAGGTACAATATTAAATATCAACAATAAACATAATAAGAAAGACTAATATTTACATGACTAAATATGAAACAGTGCAGTGGTGAATAGTGCAAAAGATGCTGAAGTAACATGATAAGTAAAATGAAGTTATGTGACAGATGGGTCAATTAACATCAATTACAGTATTTACATAAATAAGTGTGCGTAGATAGAGGGCAGATTGCTGGCGTCTTGCTCTCAGTAGAAAACCTCCTGCGTGGTGCATCTTCAGTCCTGTGACAGAAAGTTGTAGATGGCACTCTTGTGGAGGATTATTTTAAACCAGGGTGGGGCTGGTGTTTGTGGTTTCTCAAGTGTGAGTTTACTGAAAGAGGAAAATAACTGATTGCCAGGCATGCAGTTTCTCTTAGCGTGGAGTGTGATGTGAAGTGCTCACACCAGTCTCCAGGAGTTATCAGGGTAATACGACTCGTATGTTTGTGTTACATGACAACAGTTTGACCCGTTGTGTGGTTTTAACACCTCTGCGATGTGATGTGATGTACGGGTAACGTTCCCACGATGCTCTGCCAGGCTCGCCTTCAGCTCACTCTTAAAACCAAAAAGTCACATTTCTATGGCTGTTCAGCTCAATCGTTCAACATGAGGAGCACCTCTCCAGCTACCAGACTTGGTCCGCACTGGGACTTGAACCCAAACTTGAGACACTTTGTGAATAAATTTGTTTCAGCACTTTGAGTCGTCCAGCTTTTATTGTGAAGGCCGAACATGAACCTCTCAGTTCCTCAGTGTGAATGAAAAGTCTCCATTTGATGTTATTTATTTATCTATATATTAAGATATGTCATGCCAAAGACCCCCACATCAGCCTCTGGTGGGGACCCCCCTTAAACATCAAAAATTAAATAAACAGCTTTGTTAATTTGTTTCCTTATTTTATTAACAATTTTAAATCTTGTTTTTCCTCTTTGATGGATTCTGTCCCGTCAGTAATCATCTTATTAACATATTGTCAGTTTTCCTCGTTGATCATCGTCACACTCAACATGTTGTTTGTTATTTTATAACTTTGAAGGATTGTCATAGAAAAAGAACATGTGGACATATATTTTTTCTTTTTATCTTTGTTCCTGTGACCCCCCCTAGAGGACCCCCACTCTGACAAACACTGAGCTGTATTAATATGACTCTGATGGATGTGAGAGAGCGGCCTGGTTGGTCTATTTGTGTCGTTGGTGAACCGTCGTCTGGTAATGTGGCCACAAACCAAACCAAGTGAATAACATGGAAACCATTTATCGGTTATGGGACGCCACTTTTGGTTGACTTCCTCGGCTGTTCTCTTTATCTACAGGTTGTTGTTTTTTTTTTTTGCTGTTTTGTGGAGGAAGATGTGCGTGTGCTTGTGATTTCTTCTGTGTGTACTTGTGTGTGTGTGTGTGTGTGTGTGTGTGTGTGTGTGTGTGTGTGTGTGTGTGTGTGTGTGTGTGTGTGTGTGTGTGTGTGTGTGTGTGTGTGTGTGTGTGTGTGTGTGTGTGTGTGTGTGTGTGTGTGTGTGTGTGTGTGTGTGGAGCTGAAACTTATGTGGCTTTCAGAAGCTGGTAGCTGTGTTTGAGGTGACAGCAGAGGGGAAGGGCGTAGGCACAACTGTGGGAAGCAGAGAATCGAGTGTTTGTGTTGTTTTTTAAAACTCCAGAACAGATCCAATCATGTCATGGTGTGTTATCAACAAAGGTCATTAAGGTGACAAGCTGCAGTGATGCTGAGTCATGGCAGCTCTCAGTGGACGCTCCTCTGTCGACACATGAAGCCTGTGATCGAGTGTTTCTGCCTCAGCATGCTGCAAAACTTCAACTTTTATTCACCAAAACGTGCATATACACACTCACACAATAAAAAAAAAGAGATACAAACAAAGAGGGGAACTGTGGTACGATATAGTTTTTCAAGCAGATTTAGACAAAACCAAACAAAACAAAAGGAAAAGGGTCGGTAAATAAAATGACTGAATCAGAAAGAGGGACAAAATAAGTAAATGAGCAAACAGGACAAAGAAAAACATGGGGGCAGTATAGTAACAAAATGATGTCAAATAAAACTGGTGGGATAGGTTGTACACATGGTGAGGATTTTTGGTGTTATTTCTTTGTTTTTGTTTTTCACTTTGTATGCGTGCTAACATGATCGCCAAATACAGACTGTTTGTAAATGATATTATAGACGATATTTTATCATTAAACCCCGGCCTGTTGGACTTCCTTTTTCATTTTGAGTCACATTTTCCCGTGGTGAAAAACTCACATCAGTGCTGTAATCACGTTCTTAGTAAGCAAACATTCACTCTGCCGGTGGTGAAATATAGAGTATGATATTATAGGGATACTTCACCCGTTGAAACATGAATCTGTATTGACATTGGGTCATATATGTAGAAACAATGTGAAATACATTTTGAAGTTGGTGCCTTCTTGACTGAGAAAAGGCAGAAAGTGTCTTTTTGACTTATGTGGATGAAAGACACCAACTCCCAGAATGCACCTTCAAAACCCCCTTCATCCATTATCAGCTTTCTCCATAGAGCCTGTAAGCATTGCTTCCTAGCAATATGGCGGACGTTTAGTTTTGTTTCTGGGAGTTAGTTCCCACCCACTGATCTGTGATTGGTCTGTAGCTTCAGTGATCGAAAATATGAAGAACTAGCGTTGTAGTTTCACCCCAGCTAACCGCAACAGCTTACAGTGACTCAATATGACGATATTTGCGTCACTGGAAGCTCCTTTTCAGACTCAGAAATACAAAGATTTCACATCTCAGGGGAAAATGAGGGCGGGATGCACGACCATTCAAAAATAATACCAGGTTTCTGATGATACAAAGATTAATGCTAATGGGTGAAGTATCCCTTTAAGAGTGTGGTCATCTGTTTTCTGTCTCCAGGTAAGAGTACTCCAGTGAGCATGACAGCCGACCCTTCCGAACCATGTGACCCCTTTCAGCCCTTCAGCGGCGAGCCTGTCGACCCCTTTCAGAGTAAAAAGGGCCCCGTGGACCCGTTCAGCAGCAAAGACCCCTTCGCTCCACCTGCAGCAGCAAGTAAGGCCTCTGAATAACTGTACCAGCTGCTCCTTTGTTCACTGTGCAGCTGCATGTTCTACACACCATGGGTCATAACATGTGTCCATATGATGCCACTCTGCTGGAGGAAAGGAAGTGACTCCAGTTATTTAGTCTTATTTTGAAAGTTTATTCTGATGTTTCCTGAGTCCTGATTCTGATATCATCCAGTCTGAACAAACCTGACTTTACATTTACTGTGACAGTCAGCAGCTGCTCCAACTGGAGCTGTAAACAGTGTGTGAACAGCAGATGTTCCCCCATCAGGTCCACTGGAGGATCTGTGACATGATGCACTTTATGAACTCTGTCAGTATGTGTATCGAGGGCACTGCTGCTGCCACACAGAGAAATACTGTGATTGAATGTGAGAGGGAAACTAGGCGTAAACTAACCACACTCACCACCTACACACACCATTTGAACCCACTTTTTAAAAAGTGCTGCTTAACTGCAGAGCTGCATCACGACGAGAACGGACTTCTTCAAGAGCAGGAAGAGGGCGTCGGCCTTAAACTGGTTCAGAATCTCTGTTCAGCAGTGAGAATGTAATAAGCTTGTTGTTGGTTTTCTGGGACTCTGACAGACACTGAGGACTGATATCAGCAGTGTCCCCCCCCCCCCGGTCTTCATTCATATCGTTCTGTCTGCTACATGCAGTATGTACATAATTGGATTGCAAATTTGACAAAAAGCAGAAAGAAGAAGTAACCATGACAACAACAAAAAAAAGTCCATCCTGCTAACTGTGGATGTTTTTGTTCTTTCTGAGACGCCAACAACAACCCTCTTCCTATATCCACATCTACCGTGCAGCTCAGAGGATGAAAAAAAAACATCCACAGTTAGCAGGATGGACTTGGTCCACGACTGGTTGCCATGGTTACTTCTTCTGCTTTTTGGCAGATTTGCAAACGCACTTGGTTCATACTGCCTGCTGCTGTATCAGACTGTGAACAGATGCAAGTGTACAGAACGATGTGAACGCAGAGCAGCGGGTGAGGGGGGGCGCAATCATGCCTCATGTGAAAATGCCTCTTGAAAGTCTTAAAGCGGACTCAGGCACGGTCCGACGATCGGTCTGAGCACGATCTCTTCTGATTTTCTCCTCATGTTCTTGATTTCCTGACGTCATCTCTCTAACACTCCGTGGATTAGGATGGATCTGTTGTTCCTGTTTTTCTTCCTCTCTCTGCATGACACATCTCCTGCAACTGAACCTTAACCAGGGGGCGTGTCCAGAGGCGCCACACCAATAAACCAAGCCATGATTGGCGTTTATCTTCAGAGAGGCAGGGGCTTAAGTTCAAATCAGCTGTTCTGGCTGTTTTGCCCC